TTCAGATAATGGACCTCCTGGACTGGTTTACTAATTTTATCTTTTCTCTACTATTTTTCATTTTGTATTTTTGTTCTTTCAAAATGGGGGTTTGCCTTAACTTTACCTTCCAATCATCCTATTAAGTTTTAAAATTCTCTATCATTTTTCATTTCTAAGAGCTTCAGAATGCTTTTTAAAATAGCATCCTATTCTTAATTCAAGATTGTAATATTATCCCTATGTCCTTGAGAATGTTGATGGTAGTTGAACTTCCTCCCAGAGTTTGTTTCCTCTAAGAGGCTGTTTTGATCTGTCTTATCCAGAGCTTTTCTTAGCTATTTCCAAGTTCTACTCATATTTAATGATGGGAATCCAAAAAGCTCAATGGGCTTTGATTGTGAGTTTGAGTGAAGGGTGATCTGACTGCCTTATTTAGTTGAGAAACCTCTGATGTCAATTGTTTTTCTCAGACTAGTCTGATTTCCCCAGAACAGTCTTCCCAATATACTGCCTGAAAGGTGGATGCTCCTCTGCCAGCATTCTCGCAGCTAGAGGGAGAGGGTCATGGATTTCAGCACCCAACATGCCTATGTTTACTTAAACTTTCTATTATTGGTTCAGTAATTGTACCCTCAACTAGTATCTCATAGTCCAGAGATCTTATGTTTTATTCTTCAGAGAATAAATCTCAAGTTTTGTTTTGGGGATGAAGATGAGAGATGGTCACCTTGCTACATAGAATGAAGGAGAAGACCTGGGTTTCTGACTGCGTTTTAAGTAGACTTTCAATAAATCTTTCTTATTCTAGATATACCTCCTTTACCTTACTCACAAAGGGTATGTGGTACCACCAGTTCCTGAGGTGCCACCGATTCCTGAGCATTTAAAGAAATTTAAATCAGATTGGCTCTTGGATTTTCCCATGCCTCTTTTAAGATTCAGCCTTTATAGGTCTCTCATGTCATTAACCCTTGGCCTCCTATTTCCTAGCGTCTAAAATGTTATTGCTCGTCTCTTCTCCTGTTCTCCCTTTTCTTGTATTTTAAAAAATCACTTACTGGGCCGGCCGAGTGGCGCGATGGTTAAGAACTCGCTTGGGGGCCGGCCGAGTGGCGCGATGGTTAAGAACTCGCTTGGGATGCCAGAGGGCCCCGGTTTGGATCCCACATATGAGGGCC